GCAATACCACTTTATTGAAAGAAGGGTTTGGAGTTGAATCTATTGGTTGAATGAGTAGTTTATGTTTGTGTTTAGGCCCGACCTCTTATTGTTACAAAGGTGTCTAAATGACTTATTAACTAAATCACAATATTACTCAGATTATTATTATTTTTTTTTTTGCAAGACTTTATTGGAATTTTCTTTTATTGGACTAGTTAACATTATTGCAGAGGAATTTTTAATGTTTTGGGAATTTTTGGAACCACTGGGATATTAGTTTAGCTTAACAAGCAGGGGACACATGTAGTCTCTAAACAACTCTTTTACAAAAAGGACTAAGAGGCAGAGACATGAGGGGATTTGCTGCATGACTGGCATTTTTCCATGTACAAAATGTGACATATTGCATTGTGGGACTGTTGTGCCCATGATGTGAAGGTCAAGTTATGAATTCTGGCTAAGCTTCTCTGCTCCTCAGCCTTCTATTTAAAACCCCAACTGGGACAGCTGGGACCAAAGCAGAAAGCACGAGTGGGGGCAGCAAACGTTGGATGTCTTCCTCATGCAAACACATCTTGCTACCTCACACATGTCATTGCCTGCATATCAATACCACTCAGGCCCGGTGTTAATAATAACTCTGCAGTTACCCAGCTGGACTAGTTACTTGTCAAACTAAGAATCCAAGTGGGTTAGTTTTCAAGACAGGTCAACTCCACAACTTAAGATGGTCCACGTGACGAGAGAGGAAGAGAGAGCGTGACCTTGAGTGGAGGTGTAAGGAGAGTGGGTGGGTGGATGCACTATGTGTGTTGGTTTTCGATTGCCGAGGAGAAGAGAGTAAAGGGGAAAATAAGAAGCTCATAAAGTGACCGTGTGTGAGTGTGTGTGTGTACGGCTTATCCTTTAATGCAGTCACACAGGCAGCAGCCCAGTCAGTGCATGCCATTAAACACTATTTCCCAGCATGAATGAATAAAAATACAGTACTTCACTTCACTACACCTCAGCAGTAGTACTCATTTTTACCATCTGGTTGTGAATTTAAATTCAGATGGCACTGGGATTCATTCATGGTGGAGAATATGGAAGATAAGCTTTACATTTACATTTCAGAGGCAAAGCCACAGAAAAACCATCGTCTCTCTACTGTAGCATGGTCACAGACATTGATGTTTCCGATTATGAGAGATTCATCTTTTCAGATCTTGGAAAAGATATTAAAGGAATGTAGCTTCTAGGCTAGACAGTTTCAGTTCTTTATGATTAGGCTGTTCTACAAGCTCTCTGAAAAGCCGTCAGTCGATTCAGAAAACTGCATAAAGAGCAGTAACAGCGTCTAGTAGTATTAACTTCTCTTCACTGGATTTCTGCTAAATCCAGATTAGAAGTAAAATCCTTCTCATATATAGTTCCTTAAATAATTAAGCTCCATTGTATCTTCATGACCTCATAACATAATAGCCAACGGAGTGCAGCATTGTGGCACGGTGGTTAGCACTGTTACAGCACAGCAAGAAGGTCTTGAGTTCAATTCCACCATCAGGTCTTTCTGTGTGGAGTTTGCATGTTCTCCCCGTGTTTGCGTGGGTTTCCTCCGGGTACTCCGGGTTCCTCCCACCGTCCAAAGACATGCAACTTGTGGGGATAGGTTAATTGGATAATCCAAATTGCCACTAGGTGTGAATGTGCGAGTGAATGGTTGTCTGTCCCTGTGTGTTGGCCCTGCGACAGACTGGCGACCTGTCCAGGGTGTACCCCGCCTCTCGCCCTATGACAGCTGGGATAGGCTCCAGCGCCCCCCGCGACCCTGAAAAGGATAAGCGGAAGTGAATGGATGGATAGATGTATCTTCATGACCTCATAATTTATTAGCCAATGGAGTGCTTTGCTCTCTTCATTTTGTTCAGACTGCAGTCTTACTTATAAGACAGGTGGTTGGTTTGGTTTCTTCCTGTTAAAAGGGAGTTTTTTCTCACCACTGTCACAAACCAGATGTTCATAGGCAGTCATAGTTTGTTGAGGTTTTCTCCCAAATGCTGTAGGGTCTTTACCTTACAACATAAAGCACCTTAAAGCGATTGTTCTTGTGAATTGTCAGCTAATGGCAAACATTTTGGTGATGGGAATCAGCATTAAACTGGTCGAAACTTTTGTTACATCATGCTGGGTTACATTCAGTCCTGGGTTCTCGAAAGGGGTCGATGGAGACCTGGCTTATAATCCATTAGAATCAGCCCTTGTTTAAATTTATTCTACTATGCTAGAATTTTGATTTTTTTTAAATCTGCAGTGACCTGCTGATTACTGTGTGTACTTTTGTGTTGGGGTTTTGGGCCTCACCAGTCCGCCGAAGGATGTGAGGATCATGCCCACGCGAACCACCACCCTCTCTTCAGGCGTACGAGCTGGTCGGACCTTAAGGTTGTATTTGGAAAAGAGACTCTTCATCAGAGTATTCTCTGATTCGGTTGCACCTGTAATACACATCGACAGAGGTCAGTTGTGATGGCAGGCTTCAAACTGAAGTCCTTTAATAACTGCTAGTCATTCACTCAAATTTAGCTAGATATGTCCCTCCAAAAGCCTCAGCAGCTGCTGACTGCATTGATGCACTGAATTAATAAAGGAGTTCACTCACTAGATACACACTGGTGACACTGTGTCGCCGAGCAAGCTGTGCTGTGCATCAAAATATAATCAATCGACGACTGTCTCAATACCGAAGTCAATTGTTTGATAAAAAATTGATTGATTACTGATGATTACTATAATGATTCAATG